GCAAATTCCCAGTGCCAGTAGCCACCGAAAGCCTTTTATTGGTCAAAAAGCAATGACTACGATTGAGTAACTCCTCTGGAGTCAAAAGACTAGGATGCCAAAGATACTTTGTCTTTCATTATACAGTACTTACTGTTACTAGGCCATGAGGGTGCATCAGTTCCTGGGGCTTTCTTCTCCAAAGAAGGTTCTCTACTCAGTCTGAGAGAGAGTTCTGTGTGGAACACTAGAAACCTGAAAGGGAATCCCTAGGCCAAGGCACACTTCTACAAACATAGGCAGAAGAGAGGCAGCTCTGGTGTCTGCAGTCACCCGGGGAAGTGGCCAGCTTCTATCGAGCTGCAGTTTCTGGGTTCTAATGACTCAACACGATCCTTGCCTTGGAGTAGTTCACATTCTAGAAAGGGAAGCATGATAGAGCATTTAAAGGACCACACATCAAAGCCTGTGTTGTAACAGCAAAATAGAAGGTTATTAACAATGTGGTATGAGGAACAAATGGAAGATGGGGCCAGCTCTGGTGGGAGAGGTTATGCTGGTTCCCAGCATGGAGATGAAGGAACTACTGTCAGGGATACAAGTTGAGAGGCCCCAAGGATGGCAGGTGAAGGGTTTGAGCACCTCCATCCCCCTCCCATACTGTCTACTGCTCTTCTCTTAGCTTTAGTCTGTACTGCAGATCGCCACAGTGTTGGGTAAAGTACACATTCCAAGCCACCCGAAGATCCACAGACATCTGCTCACTTGAGAAGCTTCTGGGTGATTCTGAAATCGGAGGGTTAAAGGACTGTACTTGGTAAAATCCCCGACCAGACAGACAACTCTTTTTTTCCTTTGCATCTGAGATTCAAAAATTCTCTTGCTTTTATGTTATCTGCCCCATGCTGGTACAGAGACTCGGTGGGGTTTCTAGAAGTCTCAGTGTGTAATGGGTGTGATTCCTATCTTCAAGGGGCTCATTCATATAGTCTCAGGAGTTGAAACTCTCAAGGATTCCTGAGCACTGTAAGTTGAGTCTGTTGTCACTATGCGCTCCAAGCCAAATGCCTTTGGGACGTTTGCTGATGAAGCCACCCACTTCAGTGGAAGCAGAAGCTGGGCTGGTGACCGACTTCTGGTTTTCTGGTCTGCATGGATCTTAGTGATCTTGTGCTGGGCAACATCCCAGCAGGATGGGGCTATGTGCTCTTGGGGTAGCTGGCTTCTCCACAGCAGGTGAAGATTCATGATGAGACATCAAAAACAGACTTTTGACAGTATGCTGACTCACTCCTCAAGATAGTGCTAGAAATTATAGGCCTTTGCAAGCAGATTCTATCTACCTAAGGAAAATTCCCATCTACCCAGCTCTGTAACCAGCTTGAGTCTGCACCTGCAGACTCACATGTGCGCCCTCTCTCTCACATATGTGTGTGTGTGTATGAGTCTCATATATGTATACATGTGTATACAGACACACACACACACACACACACACACACATACACACACGCACGAGTCATTGTTTTATTACATACATAGCAGAAACTGGCTTTAAACGTGATCCTCCTGCCTCAGTCTTCTGAGTGTTGAGTTTAAAGACATGCATCGTTATACCTACCTTTCTGCTTTTCCTAGTTCTTTCTTGCCTTCCCATAGAGAAAAATAAGTAGTTTTTATATAACTAGGCACTGAATATACCAGCCTTTGATGGTGGCTGCCACTTAGTTTCCCCCTTGCCATCAGGCACTGTCCTACATTTGTACCCTGTAACTCCCTGAGATAGGTACTGTGTCCCCAATAATGGCAAGGCTTGGATTTGAAAAACAAGTTCATTTACTTTAAAGAGTAAAAGCTTTTAACCAGTACTTCTGGTTAGATAGGAAGTAGGAGACAGGAGGCAATGGCCAGAGAGCAGTACAGAGCAGGCATTTCAAGGGGCCTCACACTGTGAGCTTCTTATCTCTCCATCGTGTGAGTGGGATTCCTAGAGCCTCCTTGTTTGTGTGTAGTCTTGCTGCTGGAGGAAGGGTGACATTGTCCAGGGTGTTTGTGTAAGTAAATCATCTTCCGTCCTTGCATCCGATCGCAGAATGGCCAAACATTGAAACTTAGCAGTAGGTCAGAATCACTTCCCTCAGGCAATACTTTGAGGAGCCAAGATAGTCGAAGGCTGAAGAAAGCAGCCCAACTGAATCACCCCAATTTTCTCCTGACAACCAGTGCTGAGGTTTATGGAGTTGAAACAGAACTAGAAGAAAGCCAATGCTTCTCCCAAAGCCCACACCCCACATCTTTGTCAGCTGGAATTCCATCCTCAGCATCTCAGAATCCACCTCCTTGTCTTCACTGCCTCTCCTAGGCACTGCAATCCCTTCTTCAGTCACGCTGCCCGCTCTGTCTCCTCCTCCTGTTTAGATATGACATGCTAGCATCTTAGATGCCCTTTCTTCCACTGTGATGCTTCAGTTCACAGTGATTTCTGGCGTCAAAAGATGTTTCAGTGCGCCCAAAGATCGGACCCTTTTCTTTTCCAGCCTCACTGACCTCTCTGCCTTAGCCCTACTGAGCTTTCTTCAATTCCTAAACATTCTGGCTTTAACTTCTGAGTCTTTTCAGGCTGTGATCTCTGCCTATGTTAGCTTTTCTGCCATTCACTACCTGGCCACCACCCCATGAATCTTCAAAGCTAAGCTCAAATATCCATCTGTGCAGCCAGCCTTCAAGGCCCATTATCAGCAGATCGTGTTTGGGTTAAACGCCATATTCTCTGTGCTTCCTTCTGTTATGGTCCTTAAAACAAAGCATTGTTGGAGCTAGTGAGCTCCTTACCTGATAAAAGAACCTGCCACCTAGCCTAACAAGCTCACTTTGATACCTAGGGCCCGGAGAGAACCAACTCCTATAAGTTATCCATTGGCCTCAACATGGATGCTGTAGTGTATACATGCTTGTACACATGGGCACAGAGTAAATAAATAAAGTATATTCTGGTTTTTTTAACCATAGTATTATATAGTTGGCTATTTACCTGGCTCTTCTCAGACCCCCACCCCACCCCATTGATCTCTGAGCTCCTGCAGAGCAAAGAAGTCTGTCTTATTAATGTTCTGGGACTTAATACACACTAGGAGTTTAATGAGTGTTTATTGATTGTATTCATTCTTTACTCTCAAAATTGGTAGTTTATAAAATTCCAAGAATCAGAATAAAATTGAAAACAAGTGTTCTGGGCGGTATGATCTAGACCTCTCATTTGGCTTTTTGGGGGAATCTCAGTTTTTCACTTGTTGAGACTTCTCATTCATCCTTTGAGGCAGCAGAGGAGCTGTAGAGGGGGGCTGTCATTTGGAAGTGGGTTTTTCTCGTGGTCCAGCCACAGATCTGAATCTGGGCAGAGACTTCCCAGGCTGGGCCTTTGGCTTCCCTTTCTGGGTGGGGAATCATCTTTAGTAGGAAGCGGACGCTCCACATCAAGAGTCTTGTAATGATTCTCTTTGGGTTCCGAGGTTCAAATGTCAGGGAGGTTGAACCCTGTTTGAGTCTTGACAAGATCATGTCTCCTGATTCCCAAAAAGGTGTCTGTGTAGCCTCAAGCCACACCAAAGGCAAAGTGCAGCAATAGGCAGGATGCTGCTGGGTCTGGCTCAAGTTTTCATGGTGTCACTTGGTTGAGTGCATGTGGCATTTGACTATGTGCTCCCATCCCCACCTCCCACAGTGTTCAGTTGTGTATGCATTTGCAGTCCAAAGCCATAATGCTTGCTTCCTATAAAGTAGAGAGCACTTGATAAATTCAACAACGCACATACAATTGAGTACCTGATGTCTACATAGACAAAGTACTGTAGGCAATGTAAGGAGCTGGAGTAATCTCAGGAAGCAAACCTTTGCAAACTTGAGAACACGTGATTTAGTCCAGCTCCAGTAACCATGCTCCAGTCCAGAGCACTGAGGGAAGACACATCTTATCGAACTTTATTCCAAATGGCACAAGCCTTTAGAGACCATTCAGGAAACAGAAATATTAATGTATAGTGGGCATGAGACCCATCGAATGAGACTGGGAGATGACCATTTGTGGGAAGAGGAATTGTTCTCTTCTGTATTTTTTCTGTGGTAGGTAGAAATACAGGAAGGAATCTGGGCAAAGTTCTCTTAAGTCAGGGCTTTGAGAATATTCTCTCGGCGAAGCTAAGTCAGTGGGGGTGAGAGCCACAGACAGAGACATTGATCTACTGAATACAGAGCTAAGATGAAAGGAGCCTAATTTTCAGGTAGAGAATTGGCCACTGTCTCTGCACCTGCCAGGTGGTAACATCATTCTAGTGCAGCATGAGATACGGAGAGGGGTGGGGAGGGCTTGAGGTACGAAAGAGATGAAAAGCTCAGGCACTGAACAGACAGAACTTTGGCCTCCTGGGTTAATGTCTACTAGGGGTGTTTGCAGTCTCCTCCCCTCATGTGTAGGGGACCCCAGTAGAGGAGCCTCAAGCCTCCAGCAGGTGGTAAACAGGTAGGTTTTAATATCTACCCCACATACATCCGAGCTTGACTCTGCCTAGAAGACAAAACTTTTTGTACCATGGAAAGGAGCAAAGTGTTAGCTTTTTCCTTGTCTCGTTCAGTGACACTAAAGCTGTACAATTTATTAAGGGGTTACATTTTGTTTCTTATAGGTTTTTTTTTTGGGGCTAATACTTAATTTTCTTATAGCAATATAGACACAGTCTCTCTCTCTCTCTCTCTCTCTCTCTCTCTCTCTCTCTCTCTCTCTCTCTCTCTCTAACAAAAACAACTGAAATGGTTGATTGGTAGTATATTTACAAAATGGTCCAAGGGATTTGGTAGTGATTTGCAGGACTCTGACACATTTATCTTGTAGCCAGTCTGCCTTCTCTTATTTTTTTTTTTTAAATTTTAGTTTATTTATATGAACACATTGTAGCTGTCTTCAGACACGCCAGACAAGGGCATCAGATTTCATCACAGATGGTTGTAAGCCACCATGTGGTTGCTGGGAATTGAACTCAGGACCTCTGGAAGAGCAGTCAGTGCTCCTAACCACTGAGCCATCTCTCCAGCCCCGTCTTCTAGCATCAGCACCTGTCTCTTCTTACAATTGTTACAGCTCTCTGATGATGTATGTGCTACTGTAGAATGAACACTATGAACTAATGAAATTAGTTCAGCAAATAGTCCAAGGCCTACTGTAGCCAGGGCATGTCTGCTAGAGACTTAGGTTAGCAAATTCTAATTAAGAACTCTATTTTCATAGTAAGTGGTCAGAAGGAAGTCACAGTGCCTGGTAGGGAATGCAAAAACAGTTTCAGCTCAGAAAGCTGAAAGGCACAGAAGTGTGTGTGTGTGTGTATGTGTGTGTGTGTCTGTGGCAGATTAGGCTTCATGCCTGCTAGAGAGGCACCACTGAGCAGTGTCCCCAGCCAGGATCTTTATATATTTCAACCCCAGTATGAACCCACTTGTGTAATTCCTATTAAACTACTGACAGCTGCCAATCACAGTGGATTATTTCGTACAAATCCCTTGCTGTTGCCGAATCTCTTGGGCAGATTCTGCGTATTTACTTTGCTACCCAATGGGAAGTCATCTCTTCTTGCTCCAGTAGCTCATCAGGTTCTTGTCTCTTTCTTTCATCAGAAGCTTCTCTCAGACAGCAACCCTGGCTGAGCCATCTTGCAAGTTGGTGTTTTGTAAATGTTTCCCAATCATTATGAGAAAGACTCAGGAAGGTCACATGCTGGGGAGGAGGAAGAATGCTGGGAATGAGGGCAGGAGGTTTGTCCACTGACCTCTCTTCCCAGTAAGTTGCTGACTCTCAGTGTCAAGACCCAGGCTTCTTGACTCCCCCCACCCCCACCCCCACCCCTTTCTCAAATGGTTGATATCATGGGGCTTTCAGGAAAATACAATCACCGTGACTCTTTTCTTTGCTCCAGCTCCTGCTGATCAGAGTTTGTATTGGCTCATCTCACCATTGGTCTCACTCTGGATTTCCCTGTTAAAAAAAAAAAATGAAAGTAGTGTGGATTAATAACTGAGTAGTTATGAGCACGTCCCTTGTGAGGAACTTATCTGCCATGACACATTGGCCTTGAGAAATCAGAAACTTTAAGTTGTAGATTGAAAGCACTGACTAAAAGTCTATAAAAGTAGGGTTTGCTCTTTCACACCCCAGGCTAACCCTTGCCTCAATTTCCTGTCTGCACAGTGATTGCTGTCTGACCTCTCTGTGCCTCCTCCCTCAGTTAAAAAGGTGTGACTCGGGCCCTCTTTGTCTGTCTGTTGCCTGTTCCTAGGCCACACTAGACAATTTACTGACTTGTATCTCTGATTTGTGTCCTAGGTGTTCTTCGTGTCCGACCTCTTCAAGACTAAGACAACCCTCTCACTGCCTGCCCCTGCGATCAGGAGAGAGATCCTGTCTCCTGTAGACATCATTGACAGGAACAATCACCATAACATGGTGTAGGTGCTGCGGCATCCAGAGCGCTTTCTCTGAAGCGACTGCTTGACGGCATGTTCCTGCTGCTCTCCAATCTCATCAGACAGTAGAATGTAGGGAAAAGCTTTTTGCCCGATGGATTTTGAAAACATTTAAAGAAAAAAAAAGAGCCTTATCTTGTGGCCTTCCAAAATAGGTTGTTTGCCTGTGTGGAAACAACAGTGCCGGAGTCCTGAGTGCCGGCTGTGCAGCTGGCTAAGTGTTCATGTTCTAGTGAGCACGGGCTTGTCAGGAGCAAAACGCTAGATCATTGAGCAGAGGCTGTGGTCACCTTTTGTGACCTGAGAAATCCCAGGCCAGAACAGCTGGAGCTCTTACATAGCACACAAGGCTCGAACCAGCACCAAGTCAGCCCCTCTGCCCGCCCCGCTCTACTGTGACTTTGATTCAAGGAAGTTTTTGCGCCACGAAATACTGGGAATGAGCACACAAATTTTCAGTCCAGTGATCAGATCCTGAGTCCGAACCCCCCCCCCCACCAAGTCCTGAGGCCTCCGTCATCTCCCCATCCCCAGGCTAACAACCTCAGCCCCTCACTTTTAGAGATTAGGAGACTCTTTGTGGAAGAGCGGACTTCACAAATAGCACAAGTTCAGAAGACATGTAGAGTGTCTTCTCACACACCACACTGTGACGCGGAACAGCCATGCAGGATCCATCACCAGGCACTTGCACGTGTAGAAAGCTGTAGACTTTGGTTACTGCTATATCCCCCTTGAGATCCTTGCTGGGTGCCTACCAGGATTTCATGTGAGGGCCAGTAATGCATAGGCATGGCCAACCTTTGGTGGATCAAAAGAGCCTCAGTAAAGAGACAGGGAGGGAGGGAAAGGGCAGAATGAAAAAAATGAACCAACTTTTTTGGCCCCTTGGGATCAGGGAGAGCCAGAATAGCAGCCTGTTTCATGCCCAAAAGGTTACCCTTCAAGATAAGGGCACCCCGAGGGTCTTTGCAGGAGTTGATCTTGCTGTGTAAAGCACTATTGTCTCGGGGTTGACCCCTGGGACAGTTCTTGGTGGGTTCTGCTGGGCAGAACACATGGGTTAAATCTGTGTAGAGTGTTTTCCTCATCCTCTATCCACAAGTGTCCTTCCAAGCAAGGTCCCACTCTATAGACAGAAGGACCCTTCTACTGAACCTCCAAGGAAAAGGAGAAGGAAAAGAAAAAGTGCTTTTCAAATCTTTCAAAGGGCTACATGTAACCATATGGGTCAGCCACATGCACATCCCCCAGACTCCGTCCTTTCATTTCAACATATAGCAAGCTATGATTTTATATATAAATATTATATAAATAATGTATAAAACATTAAAAGTTAACTATGTAAGATATTATTTCTGAAACAATTTTAGTTATATCCACTATGATTATAAACTGTGTCTCGACCTGTGTTATTTACTTTAGCTGCTTAAAGGAGCATTGAGGTTTTTTGGTTTTTTTGTGTTTTTTTTTTTTAATCTCAACTAAAGATATCATAGCTCTGTGGTAGCCATTGTTTTACAATGAAATAACTGCAACTAGAGAAAAAAAACTGTATAAAAAAACATTAAATTGTCAGTATTTTTGTAAGGTTCCGTTTTGTAAAGAGAATAATATTCAAACACTTTTGTGGCATACAAAGTGAAAAATGTGTATCTGAGAAACTAAACATGTATTAAATGTGCTTTTTAAATAAAAGCTCATAACATGACTAACCAAGGCACTGGTACCTGAACTGTTTAAGGGATGTTTCTTTGGAGTCTGCGGAAAGGAGCATGGGGTATTGCAGCGGGGCCTCTTGAGTGGACTTACCTTAATGGAGCACCAGCTCCTGATTGTTCAGTGGCTATGGCAGAGACAGGATGTAGAAGCTGTCCTTTCATCTCTGAAGCTTGTTTGCCGAAGGAGGCTGGGGGCTGACTCTCATCTCCAGCCTCTTAAAAGGCTCTTTTGTGCTCTGCAGGGTTTTCATGGGGGAGGTGGGAGCTGTGGAGGTCCCCAAAGATAGATATGGAGACTTCCCTAGATAAGGTGGGCTTGGGGAGCTTGATGGAGAGTCTTTCCCACAGCCCATATCAAAGGAAGGGGGTTCTCCATTAACAGAGCAGTGGGTTCCTGCTCTCCTGCCTTTTGTGACCCCCTCACTCCACCCCCCCCCCACACACACACATACACACAACTAGAAGGAAAAGGAAGCTGGAGTGTTGTGCACCTGTGTGCCAGGCAGTTCTTCCCGGATGTTCCTTTACATCCCAAAGCAGTTCTTGGCTTGAGCAAGGAATGGTGTTGTGGAATACAGATGGTGTAACTTTTCTAAGACCTGTCAGTAGGTTGCAGGACGGGCCTTGCATTAGTTTATTTTTCGCTGCTATAAAAACAGTTACAAATTACTGCAACTGGGTAACTTGAAACAACACAAATCTGTTGCCTTCCTGGGCAGTAGGCTGTAAGGAGCGCTTACCTTCTGTCATTTCCTGAGGCACCTGAGTTCCTTGGCAATGGGCCTCTTCTCACTTTACCTTCTTCTCTCCTATTCCTCCTCCATAGGTGGCATCTTGGTAATTGCCTGAACCCCGGATGATCTTAAATAACCTTCCTATGTTCAAGTCAACTGATTAGAAAACTTAATTCCATCTGCTACTCAAGTCCCCTATGCTGTGTAACAGAACATTCAGATTCCGGGGACCTGCGAAATCTGTGACCCAATATAGCCCACACAGCTCACTCCCAAACCTCAGGGATGGGAATAGGTATAGGCTAGCAGGACAGGAATTTAGATTAAAGGGGAGAGGGACCTAGAGATGGCTTGGCATGCATGCATGGTTTTAATCCCTGGTGTCTACACACACACAAACATGTACCTTACAGCTCCTACCTTGCTTTGCCTCCAAGATCAGTCTGCAATTTGCTGCCCTCAGCCACCACCACCCCACAACAGCCAGCAACATTTTTGACATATTTTGCAGCCTCTCACTTCAAGTCTGAAGAACAGATGTTCAACGAGACAAGAGGACTCGTTGGTGTGGGAGAGGGGAAGAATTGGTACTTCCAGAATCTAAGGCACCTGAGATGACAAGTCCTTCATTTCTTCTCCCAAAGTGCTGAGTGGCACTAAAGAAATAGCCCAGGCCTTGACTCTGATTCTCAAAGTGTGGTCCACAGAGCAGCAATGTCTGCATCCTCGAGGAACGTGGTAGAAAATGCCCCTTAACCTTAACCTATAGAAGAGGTTAAACTTCCTATAGGTGAAACTCCCAGGGGACTCATCTGTGCAACAAGCTTTGCCTCATAAACTGGATTCTGCTGTGTAGAGTCCTCACTGTCTCTGAGGCTCATTTCAGTGCATGCTGGGTCAGACATCAGTAACCTCAAAGCTTTATGAACCAGATTTACACAAGGGACTCTCTGTAACACATCTGGGATTCTTTGGGTCAAAACCATGCCTTACCCTGCCTGCATCCTCCCTTCCTGTCTGGGATAACATAGTCTCTGTTGAACCAGTTAACCAGCCTCCAGGTAACAAAGCCACGTGCCCACCAATTAAACAGGTTTCAGATTCAGAAAAGCTTAAAACACTGTCCCTCACTTTAGGAATTGTTGACGACATCAAATTTTTCTGAAGTACAGACAACAAGCTTTTCCAGTCCCAAGTCTGAATGCCCTTTCTCCCAGTTCAAGTGAGCTTCTGTATTCATTAATTTAGTCCTAAATAACTTCCTCCAGCCAGAGTGACCACAGTCACTCATTCAGTTAGCTCCGTTGGAGTCTTCCAAACGCTGTTAAAGTTACTCTGGTTCACTTTACCGAGAGAGAAACTGAGGTTCAGCTAATCTTTTCTTAGTTGCTAGCTCAAACTTGAAATAAAACTGAGATTCAAACTCAAACTATTTCAGTTAGTCATTGACTAAGTATTTACTAATTACTTCCTAAGTCCCAGATAAAGACATCGATGTGACCCAGGAACAATAAAGGTCCATTAGGAAAAATTAGTTCCTTCTGGTCAAGAGGATGAATGTCTGGCCTGAGCAGAGAACTAACCCTCCAAGCTACTCAAAACAGGAAAGAGCTAATCCAGTTGGGCCTGTCAATCACCTGGCTCAGGAGCCGCCTCTAGGAGTGCAGACTTACCTAAGCTTGCTAAAGAGACACTTCGGGATGACTCTCCCTTAAATGAGATGCTATACTTTTCCTTCCCAAATTCAAGGTCCCTGGCACCTTCCCAACCAGCCGTCCTGAGAGTCAGCTTACTCTGTCTGCCTTTCTGTCTAGAGTCAGAAACTTTTATTTCTTTTTTTTTCCCCTTTTCTTTGGTTTGTTTGTTTTGCTTCTGTTGTTGGTCTGTCTTCTATGTCTCTTTTCTTCAGGTGCTGGCCAGAACTGAAGAGTGATCTCTCTAGGTCTTTGGGCTTCCTTACTCTTTCTCTAAAGCTCTGTACCATGTGGCTGGGCTCCATGCTGGCTTACCTTAAACAGCAGGCCTTCTCTTTTTTTCTACTCCAGACAGGTACTGAGATTCACCTCCACCTGCCTGGGGATGGGGGGGGGTGTCATTTTAAATGATAAATAAAACTGTCCTCTTGAATAAACTTTGGCTTTGCTTGACTTTCAACTTACAGATTCATCCCCCACCTTCACTTTGAAAACTATGGATGCCACAAGGCTGGGTGGCTTTGTCTCCTTTTTCTGTAGTTGACTACTTACGTGTCTACTAGCTCATCTATTGATAGTAATCCTCCTAGAGAGTGAGGCCCGTTCTTTTTCTTAGGACAGTTGTTATTTGATGAATTGATTAAACAGAGGATGAAGGCATCCCTCCTCTAGTTGATGTAATAATGTGTATACGCCAACACATATATGGATATAGCTTTATATCTTTTCATAGATATGATTGAATGTGTGACCCACTCATTCGACTTCCCCAGCATGGGTGTCACAAACCATTAGGTGACATTTGTAAAGATGCTGCTGTGTTCACAGTTGAGAGAAGTCAGGAGAAAGAAAAGACAAATTGTTACAGGATATTTGGCTATTCTACATGGAAAGCCTAATTGTTAGCAAAATATAAAACCTTAGATAGATAACTGCCTTTGTCAGATGCAGTTAGGTGTGTCCCGAAGAGAAGCAGTTTGGGTGTGCCTCTAAAAGCATCCATGGATAAGAATGCTGAACAATGGAAAGTTCCTCAAGGCAAGGTGCTTAGCAGAAGTCTTACGTTCTTTTCTCTATGGTCCAAGGTCATCTGGGTAGAATCAGCTACCCCACCTTAGAGGTGAAATGCTTCAGGCTTTATTGACTTGGCAGCCCCATACCATGACAATGACAGTTCCTGCCAAGGATGTATTGGACCTTAGATCGATATCTATCTATCTCTCTCTCTCTCTCTCTCTCTCTCTCTCTCTCTCTCTCTCTCTCTTTCTCTCTTCTTTGAAAAACCTTTATGGAAGGAGTTCCCGGTAAGAGATAGGGATTTTCTCATTGGGCTTACAGGAACAAGGACACAGTATTCTAGGCAAGAGAGCCAAGGAGCCCTCTTGGGTTTGGAGATGCTCAAGAGAAAGGTAGATTAGCTCAATAGACTGACAAAAGAGATTTTCTAAAGAGCTAGGGGTTTAGTTGTAGGGTCAGACTTGTAAATGGATATTTTGTATATGGTTAAGAAAATAAAGTCGCCTTGCTGAGCTAGCAGGTTTTTATCTCGGTTCACGCCTCTTGTGTGTCTTTATTGGTATAAATATTAGATAATTTAAATGGCTATAACAAACAACTAGTATTTTGAAGAGCAAGTTGGGGAATATGTGGTCCAGGTAGTTCTCAGTCAGAACTTCTTGTTACGGAAGGTGCCTGTTATGTGTATGTGTGTGGTCTGGGCAGGGAGGGGGGGAGGAGGATAGTCCCATGTATCAAAACAGTGAATGGCAAACTTCTTGTGAGTTGAGAGTGTTGGGAGGAGGTAGGTAAGTTTCATATTATGGTATAGCCTCAGTGGGCAACGGCCCTTATAGATAGACCTTGCAAGCCAAATGTCTAGTCTCATTTTCTTTGCCATTTGAGGCTGGTTCTTTCTTTCTATCTCATCAAGCATCTGTCTTGAGCCTGAGGTACCATTCCTCTCACATGCAGGCAAACAGAAGCTTTCTCCTGGCCCTCTCAGTCTTGCTCTTTTTGTACTTGCTTCAGAGAATGCTGTCTGGGGCCCACATTTATTGGTAGAGGGGTTTCAGGACCATGATGTCACTTACTCAGTTGGAAGACCTCAGCATGAGTCAAGAAATCCTAGGAAATGAGTGGCAGTCTCCCAGGAGAGACTGCCTTGTGAAGTCACCACCAGCGACAGTAGAGGAAATGAGGGAAACTGAGTCAGAGTTGGGCAGTACCAATGTTTGCCTGCCATTCACCATCCAGTCATCTGCACAAATCAGGCAGCTGCGATTGAAACTGTGGACAAAGAGTTGGGCAGTACCAATGTTTGCCTGCCATTCACCATCCAGTCATCTGCACAAATCAGGGAGCTGCGATTGAAACTGTGGACAAAGAGAAAGACAACAGCCAGCATGTTTCAGAAAGCCCAAAGAAAAGAAATCTAAACGGTAGGAAGATTATATAGGAAGCAAATAATACTGATAAAGAATGTGGGCTTGGAGTTAAAACTAAACAGAACACTTTGGCCTTAAATCTCCATGTAAGCCCCTCATTGAGTAGCATTTATATATTCAGCCAGATATCAGGCGCAGTATGCCTTATGCAGAGACATTATGGTTAAAATGGCGTGATTTTTAAAAGCCAAGTCTGGCTCCCATCAAGCACTTAAGTGGAAGACATACTATATTTTATATGAATGATGTTTACTGCTAAATTTCAAAGCAAATAGAGTCAGCTAGATTTTGGAAAAGGAAGCACGATTTCTAGGCAAATACAACCAGATCCAAAGCTCTGGTGCGGTTTATCAGCTTTCTACTTTATGTGGTTGAGGAAGGGGCTCACATGCAGGAACAGGCGCCAATGTCAGAAAGGTAAGCTGAGAGTAAATCCGCAGAATGCCCCACCTCAGACATCTGAACTGTTCTCCCCAGTTCATCTTTAAAGAGAATAACATGATTTCACTAGTTTCTTGCTTTGGTTTGGGATTGATTTTATTTATTTAGTTTTTCAAGACAGGGTTTCTCCACATAACCCTGGCTGTCCCGGAACTCTCTGTAGACAGCAGGTTTGCCTTGAACTCACAGAGATCTACCTGCCTCTGCCTTTAGAGTGCCAGGATTAAAGGCATGCACCACCACTGCCCGGCTTGATTAATATTTTTAGTTAAGTACTGTTGACATGGCTTGGCAGGCACATGAAGGGTCCTATATAGTTTGAACTAATAATGTTAAGTGTAGAAAATTTTAAAAGGGATAATCAGAGATAAAATTATGTATGTGCAAGACTTTACATTGAAGTGTGTTCATTACGACACGACAACATGATAAGTAATTTTAAAATGATCAGATAACTTATGATATACTCAGCAGATATATTTGTTTAAACGAATGCATCCAATAATATTTAAAGATACAGAGAAGGACTGGGGAGATGGCTCAAGCCCTTAAAAGTGCTTGCCATGAAGATCTGACTCCCCAAGTTCAAGCCTAGAACCCAGCAACATCATCATCCTCTGTGACACCAGCACTCCTGCAGTGAGAGAGACAGGCAGAAAAAGTTCATGGACCAGCTAATCTGGAGCCCGCAGCACAGCGTTAGAAATGAAAGATCCTATGCCTCAACCAATTCTCAAAAGCTGTCCTCTGACCTTGATGCACACGCTGGCTGTTTTTGCCCACCCCCAAATAAATATGGGCTTTAAAAGTATCTTTAAAGGTACACAAAAGCATTCACAATACAATTCAACTAAAAAGAATTCAAAATTTAAAAACTGTGATTTGCCTAGATATGGCGATACATATCTACAGTTCCAGAACTTGGGAGATAGTGTCTAGTCAGCCAGGAGATCAAGGCCAGCCTTACCTAGATACTTGAAAGGCCAGCATGGGCTACATGAAATTCTGTCTCAGACAAAACAAAAACATCCGTAAACAGCAATGTGGTGAATTGATTCTATTTTAAGAGTAAGGGAGAACTATGCAGACTAAATAGTAGAACTTGAACCCTGACCCCTCAGATTCAAACTGTACTGACTTTTGCATAGTGGGCATTAATAATTTCCTTTTTTCCAAGTTCTCTTTTTTAATGATGCAGTTACTTATTTGTAAAATTTTATTTGTAAAATTTCTAGATATGTGCTCTACTTTATCAAGTCTTTCACTGATACCAAAAAGTCAAAGCCTAAAATTTATTAAAAGCTTTCCTCCTGTTTTAGATTTGGTTTCATTTTTGAGACAGTGTCTCACAAAGCCCAACATGGCTTCAAACTTACTGTGTAGCTAAGACATTCTGTTCTTTCTTTCTTTCTTCTTCTTTTTTTTTTTTTTAAGAGTTTCCATAAATGTAGAATGAACTCGTAGCTGTGCTGGCTAGTTTTATCCATGGCAAAGCGAGAGTCAATCTCAATTCAGAAAAAGGCCTCCATAAGATTCAACTGTTAGAAAAAAAAAAAAGATTCAATGGCTAGGACATTTTCTTAATTAGTTATTGATGGAAAAGGGTCCAGCTCATTGTTGGTAGTGCCAGCCCTGGGCTAGTAGTCTTGGAGTTCTATAAGAAAGCAGGCTGAACAAATCATTAGGCAGCACCCTCTCCTGCCTCCAGGTTCCATCCCTGATTGAATTCCTGTCCTGACTTCCTTTATAATGGACTACTATGTGGAACTATAAGCCAAATAAATAAACTGTTTTCTCCCCAACTTGCTTTGCTCATGGTGTTTTTATCACAGCAACAGTAGCCCTAACCAGAGCAATAGCTTTGACAACTTAGAAACATGTTTTAAGTGATCGATCACTCTGGGAGGCATTGCGCAGAACAGATTGAAAGGAGGTTTATGTGGAAGGGAAAGAAATAAACAAGATGATTCCATGCTCAGTGCCCAAACAAAAGATTTCAAACGTGACAGAGGGCGAAGGAGATATGAATTCTAGAAATGGGAAGGATCAGAACTGGAAAGACTTCTTCTTCTGTGGGTATGAAGGAACCCAGAGGCAAGCACAGTGCCCACATTACCGACCCTAATAGTCCTTCAGAGTGTGTCCTGATCTTAGAAGAAGGGAACATAGGCTAAAGGCAGTTTGGAGAAGACAGCTATGGCTTACGTCGTGCTTTGGTCATGAGTTTGAGCTATTCATGGGGCATTAAGATGGACAAGTTCAGTAAATGAAAATTGCATATGCAGTTGTATATAATTCACTGATATCTACTTACTGAACATCTACAGTGTTCTCCCAAATGTCTGGCTTGCACGCACAGCAACGTATACAAGAGAGCAGAGCTTTTGTTCTAGTTGGAGACTAGATGCTCTAGCTCAGTATAGACATCTGGGCTGGAGGCAGACTTCCAGAGTCAACAGGCAGGAGATGGTTACAATAGACATCTGTGCTGGAGATAAACATTAGGACTCAACACCTGGAGATGGTGGGCGGGAACGCTGGGAGACGTGGGTGAGACGTGCTTCAGAGTGAGACAGAGGAGGGGGAGAAGGGTGGGCTGGTTTTGAGTCACGTTCAGTAGGCTATTGCTTTCTGTAGAGCAGAGGACCTCACTACTCTGACACTTGTCAGAAAATGCCCTTACCTATGATAATCACTTTCTAACTCTGTTCAACCCCCTGGGAGGCTAGCAAATCCCCGTATCTCTCCTGGACTTAGTTTTCCGAAACAGTGATGATGAAGTTTTAACCTGCTTTGATCTCTTTCCTTCCTTCCTCGGGGATTGGAATGTTCTTCCCTTATGTCCTTCCAGCCCTTGATCCTCCTTGTCATTAAGATCCCAGCTTACCTCACCCTTCTGAAGGAGGAATTCTTTGATCGTCTGGTATAAAGCTGTGTTAATTTTCGGTCAACTTGACATAAGGTAGGGCCATCTAATAACTTCCATTGAGAAAATACTTTCATCAGATTACTCTGTAGGTAAACCTGTGATAGAATTATCTTGATTAATGATTGATGAGGGGTTAGGGGCGCTCACTGTGGGCAGTGCCATCCCTGGGCAAGTGATACTGGGTTGTGTAAGAAAGCAGGCTGAGTAAGCCATGGGAAGCAAGCCAGTGAGTATGGGTCCTCCATGATCTTCCCTTCAGTTCCTGCCTCCGGGCTGCTAGCCTGCTTGAACTATGACTTGGCTTTCCCTAATGGTGGACTATAAAATGTAAGAATAAATAAATCCTTTCCTCCTCCTCAAGTTGCTTTTGATCACGGTAGTGTTTTGGTTTTGTTTGTTTCCACAACAATAGAAAGCAAACTAGATGAGGACTTGAGTTAAAATCTCAAATATTAAGGTAAAAAGCCAGGTGCATCAATGTGTGCAGCTCCAGTGTGGAGTGCAAAGACCAAAGGATACTGGGAACTCTCTGTCCATCCAGTCTAGCCAATCAGCAAGCTCCAACTTAATGTAGATTGTGATCTAGTAAAACACTGAAAATCTGAATTCTATATGTATGGGGACATGCATGCATACCTACTGTGGTGGTTTGTATATGCTTGGCCTAGGGAGTGGCACTATTAGAAGGTGTAGCCTTATTGGAGTGGGTGTGGCCTTGTTGGAGTAGGTGTGGCACTGTGGTTGTGGACTTTAAGACCCTAGTACTAGCTGCCTGGAAGTCAGTATTCTGCTAGCAGCCTTCAGATGAAGATGTAGAATTCTCAGATCCTCCTGCACCATGTCTGCCTGGATGCTGCCATGTTCCCACCTTGATGATAATGGACAGAACCTCTGAACCTGTAAGCCAGCCCCAATTAAATGTTGTCCTTTTTAAGACTTGCCTTGGTCATGCATGGTGTCTGTTCACAGCAGTAAAACCCTAATACATCCATCTAATGTGACAATAGGTCATGAGGCCTTCCCTCCGTAACCTACATCAGCTGTTCTCAAACTTTGGGGGGTCATCCTTTCCCAGGGATGTCTAAGACCATCAGAAAATACAGATATTTATATTACAAATCATAACAGTAGCAAAATTACAGTTATAAAGTAACAATGAAAATAATTTTATGGTTGGGGGAGTCACCACAACATGAAGAACTATATTAAGGAGTCTCAGCATTAGGAAGGTTGAGACCCACTGCCCTAGATGGATCCTACACTATCCTTTGAAAGGAGGACTGTAGCACAAGGTCCAGAAGATTGCTCAAGTAGCCAGGCTGTGCTGGGGCTCCCCCCTCTGCTTGTGACTTTTAGATGGTGTCCATGTCCAGTCACTTCTGGACGGGGCTGTCTCTGCTTCTGCCACGCCTGTGCAATAAGGCCTCCATAAAATAAACCAAAGGACATGCCTGAAGGCATTTAGATAGCTGAACTCAGGAGGCTCGTGGAGGGCAGCACGTCCAGAGAACTGCGAGTGTTATCCTGAGCTCTACAAGCCATCTGAAGAGTTAATCCAACCAGAGCAGGTGGCCCTGGGAACAGCGATCCTGCATAACAGCTCAGCAGGAGGTCTGGAAGCCTGGACTTGGGACTGGGGCTTTAGGCTGATAATCTTTGGTATTGAGCCCACCATTTGTAGGATCTGGCATTGTGAGTTAGAAGACAAGTGTCTAGACAATTCAATTAAAGGACTCCCAGTGGTGCTTCAGACATCTTGCTTGCTTTCAGGTAGAGAGAAAGCTTTACCACTGATAAGGTTCTGAGGTCTTTGATTCTGGTGCAGGGCAGGGAAGTGTGCACTGTGTTCCAACACAGTGTGAGACCAAGCCTACAAGACTGGCTCTATAGTCACCCCATTGTTTCTTCTCCAGGTCTCCAGTTGCTTCTCCTACTCTCCAGATAAGGTGTCCAGAAACACAGACCATACTTTTCTCATTCTTTGTTATTGCCTTGCGGTGCCCGCCACACAGTGGACAAGCAATATTGTGAAAACCAGTCTGCTTTAAATTCTAGTGCTCACAGTTGGCATTGATTTCATTTTTTTTTTTTTGCAATAACAAACTAATAATGAAGACTTTGGACAACTTAAGAATGGGTTAAGAGTACACCATTCTTACAGAATTGTTTCTCTGCAGGTGGATGAAGATTATTGGAGTGGTTATCTAAAATAGGAAGTGAGAGCAGGAAAGTCACTGGGAAAAGAAAGACACCGTGAGTCAAAAGACATAATTCAGTTTGGTTTTGTTCTTGTTTCAATTCACTCCTAAAGATGGGGAAAATGAGAGCGTTTGTCTGCTGAGCAAACTGACTTAGAGGTAGGAGAGTAATGTTTAAAAGCCCTATGGCTTGTCCACCCATGAAAATAATGCTGAGATTGCTCCAGAGGAAAGCAGGGGGTTCCAGGAGTGTAGGGGGGCCATGGGGTGGGAGGACAGGTGGAGAGTGGGTGAGGAAGATTTCCTGAAGTTCTGGCCTAATTTGCATCCATTTCTGCAATAGAACAAGAGCAAGATGAGCAACGGCGGAGAAGAGGGTTTTGGAGGTTGAGAACAAAGGCCGTGTAACACAGTAAGTAGCTCAGAAGAATAAGAGAGAAAGCTCTGTAAAGTTGGACTATTAGGTAGCCTGAGGACACGCTCCGCCATGGTGTGGAGAATTTGTTGGTAATAGTCTGCAAATCCACGCGCCTTCTGCTCTTTGTCCTTCAGGTTCAACTGAGGGTAGATGGAGGAACTGGAGTGACCAGCTTTGTGAGTGACAGGTACATTCGCCCACTGGATTGTGGCTGCGGGTGGACCTCAAGCTGCAAAGGAAGAGGGATGGAATGAGTTGGTGACCAGGTGGTTTCTGAGGCCCTGAGTAGAGTATTTATTTCGCTATCGTCGGTTTTAATAAGCATATATTTCCCCCCAAGAACATCTGACTCCCCCCCCCTTTTTTTCTTTCCCCCTGCAACAGGCTCGGGTGGCACGTCTTACTGTATGAGGACCCAGCGTTTAGGGCAGTTCATGACGCATTGGTTTTCTGCCTGCTCCCACCCGGGTTTACCTAGAGAGCCTCTCTTCACCTAGGAGGGCCACTCAGATCCCTGGGCGGCAGGGATCCTTCGGTCGCCCTGATTGCCTGTCTGTCCTAGGCCTGTGTCATGCCAGGCTGCCAGGTGGACAGAGAAGCCTTCATTGTCCTCGGCTGCTTGGACCTCATTCTGGGCTTCTGAGCTCCGGGCCGCGTGACTTTAGAATGCAAATGCAGTCTGCTTTTGTAGCTGTGTCTTTGTCTGGGGTGCAATCACAGCTGAGGGGGTTTTGCACAGGAGCTCCAGCTCCTCCTTTCAGCGGCTTGAGAAAGGCGGGGAGCTGAGACCGCCCAGTGGGCGGGCGGAACAGGCTCTGCCCAATGCAATGGGGATAGCTAGTGGCAACCTTCAGCCCCGGCTTCCAGGAGGATGGTTGAAGCATAATATCTTTGCACCTGATAGTTTATCACGGGGGCATGCTTGATCTGTGGAGTTTGGCATTTCCAAGCGGATCGACCGCATCGCCTGCATTTTATCAACGTTGTATTCTTCCTTTCAGCCATACCTCATGTTTCCGGAAAGACAGGCAACTTCTAGTCCTTTCCTGTGTCCCAGCAATCGGATAAACGTTCATCCTCAGATGATCGTGATTCACCTATTGCTCTCTCTTTTTTAGACGAATCAATCGAGACTTGGAGGCTTGAAGCCGCTTATCCAACATCATCAAAATAGTAGGAGCCAAAGTTCAAAATGGACTCCTTCTGCCTTCTTACATCAATCTATCCACGTCGCCATGCCCTCTAGAAATGACCGGTGTGGAGGGTTAGGGAGATAGCAAAACACACGAAATATAGCTGAAAGTAGGAAGGTGTGTATCTGTATGATTCAAAGAAATCCATTAGGGAAATCTGCTTTCCTTGGCCACAGTTGATTCAGCCCCAGAAGGAACAGGTGCAAAGGGGCAGAGGTCTCGGTACCCACAGAATATAGGAACTAGAAGGAAGGCCCTTGGGGAGTGCTCACCCCTTCATTTTACTAAGAAATAAGTGGAGACCGGTGAGGGTTACTATTATTTAAGATCACAGCATAAGAAGGTCGTAAGACTGGGGCTGGACCTCGGGCGTCAGATGTACTGCCCTTTCCTCTGAGCTCTGTCTGGTGGTGTTTGTTTGTTTTTTGATACTTGGTTAAGACTTGACTTTTGCCGGGCAATGGTGGCACATGCCTTTAATCCCAGCACTTGGGAGGCAGAGGCAGGCGGATTTCTGAGTTCGAGGCCAGCTTGGTCTACAGAGTGAGTTCCAGGACAGCCCAGGCTACACAGAGAAACCCTGTCTCGAAAAAGGAAAAAAAAAAAAAAAGAGACTTGATTTTCAATATTTTTTAAGTTGTCTTTGCTTAAGTAAATAAGCCCCTCCCACTATTGCAGACAGCCCTAATTAAATTCCCCCCCCACACACACATACACACACACACTACACTCCTTGATAGTCTTTCAAATATTCCAAAGACAACCCTGTGGGTCAGATCTCATTTCTGCAACAAGGAATAATCTGCTGTGTGTCTGCCTTAGTGCACGGCAAGGCAGGGATCCGAACCTGGGTCTCCCTATTGTCCATGTGGTCATTCCCTATCCCCCTCCCCTTTTTTCTCCTGTGGAGCATGTCCTGAGAGAGTCCAGGTATCATCTCAAAAGGCTGTTGCACGAGTGAAGCACTTTAAGGAGAATCTGCTTGGTAAAGGCACTGTAGGTTTGCAGGGGCAGAAGGGAGGGGTGACCCTTGGTCAGAAACTGCTATGAAAATCTAGGGTTGAATGAACTTGGTTAACACCTCTTAAATCTGAGGAAGAACGAGTGGTGAGTAGGCAGAATTATGAATTGGGGGTACCAAAAGGAATCTCCCCAAATCTTTCTGTGTGCCAGAAACCCTCAGTGACCTGGCAAATAAGATGCATTCAGAATTAATGAAATTAGTCTGGCTTGTCTTCACCACTGACAAGGTGTTTCTGAGGGCTTGGCTTCTAGAAAGCACATTTGGGAGGAGACCTACCACTGGGGACAGATGAAATTCCATGAGGTCAGGGGCTCAAGCCAGGCTTGCCTCTGACTGGCTGTGTGACTGAAGAAGTTACTTTTCTCTAGGCCTTAGTCATCATTCACTTTGTTATTCAATAAATATTTGTTGACTCCTGTGAGCCTGAGGGATGAGACACTTCTGACAACAGGGTCCCTGCTATGGAAGAACTCAGTCTCCATTGGGAAACAGTCAAACAGAGGATTGTGTGTATAGACACACTAGACTATATGCTGGAGTCTAAACAAAGACTTCCTCACCAGGACCATAGTTAGCTCTTATGGGGTCATTATGAACACTTAAAATAGTTATGCCTACGTTGAGCACCATGGTGTCTACCTTTAATCTTGGCATTCAAAAGTCAGAGGCTGGTGGATTCCTGTGAGTTTGAGGCCAATCAGGACACAAGTTTCAGGCTAACCATGTGATCCTGGCTGGAAGACCTTATGTAGAAAACAAACAAGCAGACAAACCAGTCTCTGCTTTTCCTGGATCAACTTGTAGCCCCAGAGTTCTAGCTTGATAAAATGAGCAGATGAATTATTTTCACCCTGAAGTTTTCCCCTAGGCTAATCATTCCTGTCTACGGAACAGGCTGTAGCCTCAAATGTCAAGATTGAGATGTAAAGGGCCAATACAGGGTCAAGGGGGAAGAATACAGCCCTGGCTGCAGGAAGAGAGCGTACAGGCTTCCTTGGGTTAGGCTAAAGTTTCCTACACAGGCACAATTGTGCTCCTTCCAAGATGACCAGAACGCAGGCTGAGGAGTGCATTAAAGACTGTAAAAAGATGGCGCTGTGGTTTCCATGTATCCTGCAAAGGTTAGTATGTGAAAACAACTTTGGGCTCCATGTTAATGGTATTCATGGCTTTGTAAGAAGAGGAGCAGAGCCCTGAGCTGGCAGGCTCAACCTGTTTCGCAGTGTGATGTCCTTCATTATTGTTAAAATGCAGGAAGGGACCCTCACCACAAGCCATCACCCTGAGCTTCCCAGCCACCACCACAGTGAGCCAAATAAACGTCTGTTCCTAAGAAAGTACCCAGTCTGAGATATTTTATTGAAAGTAACCAAAACCAGGCTAAGACAGGTGAGGTTAGGAAAGTTAGTAGATAACCATTTCTTAGTCACTCATTAAGCAAGGATTTGTTGGGCACCATTCCAAGTGAACACGGCAGCAAACTAGTAAAATCCTCTTCCCTTGAGGAGGTCCCCATCCACTGTAATCCTGATGTGCCTCCAGCCTCATCTTATTATACCAGAAAAGCGTGTTAGTTTCTGTCCTGTTTTCGTTCTAATGCGGTGTGAACCTTTAAATGAGCATATTTGTGCAAATGCCCTGTGGATACTGGGAAGAGCTGGTTTATTTCGATAATCACATTAATCCTGAGTAAGTAGACATCTCTAGTGTCCTGGAATTCCTGTCACCAGACACCTGCCTGACCCTGCTTGTCGGTGCTTAAGGAGAAGATTAAGGTTAGCTGAAAAGGCTGTTGGGTCATGACTTCATGGGCCCTGATTATCACATCATCCCAGCCATGTGATACCATCATCTAAGACTCCTCTGGCTAAAATGAGTGAATAGGGGAGTTCCCCAGAGCCATGAGCAAAGGGTGAGCTCTGTCTAGAGGACAAAATCTCCTGCACTTCCAGGAGGACTTCTCATGTGGATCCCAGGCAGAATCCGATTTCCCAGATCAGTAGGTGTTATGCGGTAACAGAAGGCTTGGGGAGCTTACTACCCCTGGCTGTGTGACTTTGGATCCTTGTTCCTTCCTGTGTTAATTAGAAGATGGAGACTAATCAACTACAACATCAGAGTTCTTTGCGTTCTTCAACCCAAATTATAAACCAGATCAAGACCAGTACTATGGTGGAGACAAGATTGGGAACTCAAGGTGTGGCTCATTCCATCTCCCTGTCCTTCCTTAGTCTCTCTAGGCTTCAGACATTGCCAGCACTGCCCCAGATGCACAGAGGATTCAGTTTGAAATGACTGGATGTTCTTTTTTTCTTCAACTCAGCAATTCTGGCCCCAAGTTCAGAAGGGAGACAAAGAAAAAATGAAAAAGTTGGTGTGATTTTAAAGTTTTTGTTTATGTTGAAATGATTACTTGTTTTCTTCCCATTCGTCCAGAACATATTCTGGATTATCTATCTAGTCAACCCTCGTCCTCTAGTCAGCCCACTATAAAGTTTCTGTGTCCCCATTTGAATCCACGTACGTGCCTGTAGCAACAGAGTAGAAACATGGAGAATAATAGCATTAAAATTTCCATATTGTGTGTTTCCCAAACTGGAAAGACCTGTGAATTATTTTTTTTTTCCTTAAAAGAGGTGTGTTTATTTAGGAGACAGGACATGAAGAAGTTAGGAGTTTGTTGCTCATCACCTCAGGTGGATCATAGTTGAAAGGACAGCTCCGCAGTTACCTAGAGCTCTGTACTTTTCTGTGGCTCTGCACGCTGTTTGTTTGTTTGTTTGTTTGTTTTGGTTTGTTTTTTTAAGACAAGGTTTCTCTGTGTAGCCTTGGCTGTCCTAGAATTCACTCTGTAGACCAGGCTGGCCTTGAACTCACAGACCTCTGCCTCCCAAGTGCTGGGATTAAAGATGTACGCTACCATCTCCAGGCTAGCTCTGCACTCTTAAGGGCCAAGAAGGCACTCCTGCCAGTGAATCTGTATTTTATTCACCATGAACAAAGAAAGGAAGA